ATATATATATATATATATATTTATATATATATATATATATATATATATATATATATATATATATATATATATATATATATATATATATATATATATATATATATATATATATATATATATATATATATATATATATATATATATATATATATATATATATATATATATATATATATATATATATATATATATATATATATATATATATATATATATATAGCAATATCAATAAATCTGATGAGTTAAGATGGTCTTTCGTGATGCACATCCAATTTAAACATCTCAAATGAGACAAATAATTCTTGTTTTTCGCAAGATGCAGCTTTATTAATGCATTTTTAAATTAATTTCAAGGGTAAAAAGTCTTTAATGAGTTTTTATTCTGTTCAAAACAGCATTCAGGGTTTGGATGATTCATGTGTTCGATCAACTTTTCGCATGATCAATTGCAATAGAATTTTATTAAAATACAACTAATTTGATTACTTTCGACGTATCTAAATTATTTGTTCAACTAATTTTATCCAAACGCAAAGGATGGGTGATGCAAAGACCCAAACGCAAAGAAGTAAATGAACAACAAAATGGCTTCAATAGAAGAAAATACAGCTTGTGGAGTGGCCCAGTCAGAATCCTGACCTCAACCTGATTGAGATGCTGTGGCACGATCTCAAGAGAGTGATTGACACCAGCTCTGTACAGAATACAGTTTGCGTAGTGGAAATATAAACTGAGGGGAAACATAGGGAAAGCTGAATTCGACACAACACTAGTTCTGTATGCTTCATTGCGCATATCTTCCGTGAACTTCCCAACGAATTGATGACGGCATACGTTGATAACATTCCATTGTCAATAATGACCAATTAGTTGATGCTAAAATGCGCAAAAAAAAAATCATCTAGATTCACTGAGAAATAGATAAACATATTAATGTTCAAAAGGGGGTGTACCCAATACAGCTGAGCACTGTATGTCAATGTTATTACAAGATTCTGTGAAAGCGAAAAAATAAAATAAATAAAATTTTGTTCACTTAAGCCAGGGGTGTCCAAACTCTGTCCTGGAGGGCTGGTGTCCTGCAGATTTTAACTTCAACTTGCCTCAACACACCTGCAAAGATGTCTCTAGAAAGGCTAGTCAGAGCTTGATTAGCTAGCCCAGGTGTGTCTGATTGGGTTTGGAACTAAACTTTGCAGGACACCGGCCCTCCAGGACCGAGTTTGGACATGCAAGACTTGAGCAAAGTTTATACATCAATATATGTCACTACAAATCTCGATTACAAAAGAAAAAAAATAATTCATGTTTATTCGTACAATGTCATAAGCCATAAGCCAAGTTTAATGCTAAGCTAACACGTAAATATCTTAATATACGTTATTACACGGCTCTACGATCTCGAACAGTCTGTGAAGTTCACTTGTGCGATGTGCGATATCATATGCGGTCTCTCCTGCGCTGTTTTTCAGTCCCGCCTCTAGGGTGCGCTGTGATAGCAAAAGCTCAATGGTTTTGCCTGCGGCGGCATTTCCAGCAGCCAGCTGTAGTGGTGTGAGTCGACCTGCTGTCATCGCATTGACTTCTGACCCCCACTGCAAAAGAAGAGACGCTACGTTAGCGTGACCCCAGCGACAGGCGCTATGTAGCGGCATCCAATCGTCGGCTGTTCTCGCGTGGAGATTCGCTCCGGCTTTTAAAAGAGCGGACGCCACGTCGTGATGGCCACTGTAGGCAGCGCGGTGCAGAGGGGTGTAGCCGTCGCTATCATGACAATTGACTAGCGTCGGGTCCAATGCAATGAGACGCTCAACCGTTGCACACTGTAGATGAGAAAACACAAATAAGAAATGCATCGATTAGGGCTGAGCGATATGGCAAAAGAAAAGATCAGTCGATATCAATAATCATCGATATTTATGTCAAATCTTTATGTCTATCAATTTTTTAAAGGATTTTCAGCATGCCAATCCCTTTGTGCAGCTGATTTAACACATTTTGTGAAATGTTTTAGCTGTCTGACAATATAAATAAACAAAAGAACAATCCTAATCTTAATTTAGCATTTACTGTTCGAGTTTTCAACAAAGACATTGGGCTCTATTTTGACGGTCCATGCGCAGAGTGAGAGGCTAATTGATGTCTGTGCGTACAAGGTTTCCCTATCCACAAGAGCGAAAGTGAAACTAGATTATGAGATGCCTTATCTCTCACTCTCGCGCTGCAGATGCTGTTTAACTGTTTTCTTGCTTGTGAAATGCTCGGTTTTTCCACGTACACTTACTTTACGTCATGTAAATAGCAAATGTGCTTATGGCGTGACACAACTGACTCTTAAAAAGAATGAGAGATGAGACTCTGATTGGTTTATTCTCAAAACACACCTTTAACTCATTAAGAAAATGAGCTCAACCAAAAGCAAAAGTGGATTCTGACACGCCCTGAAAGCGTTTGCGCTTTGCGTTTTGCGCATGGACCCTCAAAATAGAGCCCATTAAGGTTAAGTTATTCTTTGCGCTGTGAGACGTGACCACGCATTACATAATCAAGTGTGTGCAGTTTACCTTACCTTATGGAAACACCCTCTTGACATCGCATATTGCTGGATGCATAAAAAAAACCCTGTTATGCGCACGAATAGGCCTATGCAGACTCTCATTATAAAAATCGAGAAGTTTCAAAAGAGTTTGAGTCAGACCGAGTTTATTCTTCTGAGGTAATCTAAGAATACTATCAATAGTAAAACTGCGAATAGTTTGTAAAGACTGTCCGAGTCGCTTGATTAAACCGAAACCGTGAAAACAGTTTAATGGATTTTTTTGGTGCTAAAGTATACTATAGCGGACTTGTTGTAAAGCGCTTCACCTCAGATGCAATTCGCTTTTCTTGTTTATGTTGTAGATAACTGACCAACAAAAAAAAATAAGCGACTTAACAGTCTCATCAAGTGTTTATTGAAATTGTGTGGTATGTTATAGTGTCTTTTCGTTTTTTTTTCCTGTGATGAGAGTTCCCATAAGAACTGTATATTAATACCCTCTCTTACCGTTAGTTTGCTAAAAGTGAATGACGTGCAAAAATAAAGCCCCGCCCCTTACTCAATATTCACATTAACATACGGAAATAAAAGACTTCTAGATCATGCTGACTTTAACATCCCTTACATCTTCAAAAAGCAACCAACATCATAATATTCGCAAATTGTATATATGACATTATGCACCATGGATATTTTACATCATACTTTTTCATAAATTTTACAGTACAAATATGTTAAAAATAAAGTTTATACCCTTTTTTTTTCTTACAATGTTTTTATATATATTTTTTTTTTACAATTGGTTTACAATACAGAAACAAGTACATTAAATTAGCTTTATTATCTAATTTAAATTATTAATTATACTAAGAATTAAGTAATAATTGACTAATACTATCAGTTGTCACAATCCCGATAGCGGGACGCTTAAATTTACTTCGCTATTTGCAATTAAATCTTAATCCAATCATGACAAACTATATATCGTTGGAAAGGTCTAAGTCTTTTGAATACATAATTTACATTTATTATTATTATTATTTTATATAGGAGGAGTAACAGATCAAAATCAATTTACTGTCCCCCTTCAACCTCTGGGATCATTCACGGTTACGGTTTTACACCCTAATATTGTAGTCTAAACGAAGAAATCATGACAAACTATATCATCATTCGAAAGCTTAGAATTTCTAGTTTTCATATCTGACTGACTTTTAATAAGAGATTACTGTGCAATAGTTTTTATTATTTGTGACAAGGATATTCATCAGGGTAAAGCATTACTTTGCTAAAGCAATGCACATGTAAACAAAAATCTGATGTTTTTTAGAGGCTAAATTCAAGTGACTTAACTTCATATACCATCAAACTGCCTATAATACTTTAGAATTTAACGTCTGTGTTGCAAATATTGTCAAAAGAATAAAAAAATATGGTTCAAATTCCTCAAAACGTACGTAGAGGTATCGAGCACCCTCGTATGTCACCGATCGAAACTGTATTTCAACTGGTGGTCATGTCTGGTACTGCGACAATTTGTGTAAACACAATTTTACTGTAAGCTCATTTTAGGAGATGTCAGCCTGAAATTTGGAATGTAATTTGTTCAGATATTTTGCTTTGATTTTCTGTCAAATTTGGGATGAAACACGTAAAATACATATTTTGTGTAATATAATAAACTATACAGTTATTGTTTTATTATTTTCATAAACTTAAAGGCGCAGAACTTCTATTGAAATTAACGTAGCTACAGTCTGACAAGTGTCTTCTTAAAAGGGGGGGGGTGATTTAAAATGTAATGCAAGTCAATTTAAGGCTTTGTCAAGCTTTTATGGAAATGTTTGCGGTGCCCTTTACAAGCTGAGTTTGACGCTATATACAGTAAATAATGATCACCTACTCTGTTCCTCTCGGCAGCCCATAACATCAGTTCAGAGGGAGTGTCCTGTAAATGAAGTTCCTGTTGTTGATGCCATTCCTCTGTGTGCATGGCTTCATCCTCTTCCTCTCCTTCTTCCTCTTCTGCCCAATTGCTCCTCGTCCCCATGGGAATCACATGAGGATCCAGCAGCTCTAGCTGGTTGAAATCTTCTGGGAAATCCATCACTGAAGAAAAAGGAAGGAAGGAAGGACAGAAAGAAAATTATTGTACAATTATAACTTTTATTTAATTTGAATATGTATTGTTTCGATTTTTTAATGACTACTACTATGTTATTGTTTTTATATGATCTATTTAAATATAAAAACTGCAATGCATTTGTCATGCCAATATAGAAAAATTGTATTGAATTGAGAGAAAGATAAATGATTTTTTATTATTGTTCTATTATCATATTTTTATTATTATTACATTTATTTCATTTTTATTGTTTTATTATTAATATTTTTAATAACTACTACTATGTTTTAATATATAATCTATTTAAATATAAACATTGCAACACAACTGTGATGCTAATAAAGCAAATTTGAATTGAATTAAAAAAAAGACGTAAAGAAATATTTTTGTTATATTATAGTTTTTTATTATTACCATTATTTTTTATTTAATTATCCATCCATCTATTTTCTTGTCGGCTTAGTCCCTTTATTAATCCGGGGTAGCCACAGCGGAATGAACCGCCAACTTATCCAGAACATTTTTACGCATCGGATGCCCTTCCTGCTGCAACCCATCTCTGGGAAACATACACAAACACACACACACACACACTACAAACAATTTAGCCTACCCAATTCACCTGTACCGCATGTCTTTGGACTGTGGGGAAACCGGAGCAAACCCACGCGAATGCAGGGAAAACATGCAAACTCCACAAAGAAACGACAACTGAGCCGAGGTTCGAACCAGCGACCTTCTTGCTGTGAGGCGACAGCACTACCTACTGCGCCACTGTATCTCCCAATTTAATTATTTTGTTTGTTTTATCATTTTTTACTTATACTGTTTAATTGTTTTTATATAATTTATTTAATTGTAAACTTAATAATACAAGTGTAACGTTTGTCAATAAAGTAAAAATTAATTATAAATTATATATATATATATATATATATATATATATATATATATATATATATATA